AAAAAAAAAAAAAAAAAAAAAAAAAAACTGTAGTATGAGTTTTTATATCTGCTTATTGTTGTTGCTGTTGTCCATTGTTGTCATCTTTCTTTGTTGAAATCAGGTCTCTCTTGTAAATGAGTCCTCGAGGCTCAATGGGATTTACCTGTATAAATAAAGGTTGATTGTTGCACCTATTTGTTCAAGTCACTACTGTGGCTTTTTTATTTTACTAATAATTCATCTTTCATTCGAAAGGCCCCCCATTACCAAGGGGCTAGTCTTCATGAGGCCATATATGACACTTGTGCCCATGATTCAAAGTTTATTAAGCTGCTGTTGTCATCTGCCACTGAAGGCAAGAGGTGACAGTGTTTTTCCCATGTCTGTGTCTGTTTGGAGGAATAGTAAAATATCTATAAACCACTGGACGGATTTTAAAGAAACTCTCGGAAAGTAATCGTCGGCTACTGTCATTACATTTCGAGCCAACCCCATTTAAGATGGCCGCCACAGCTAAGTGACCTGAGCAAACATAAAAGTGGCTATATCTCAGCCAGTGTTGAGGTAAAATGGGTTGCGGTAGTAGCTGAGAGTCTTCCTCAACACGTACATTGAGCGCTGTTCGTCTTGACAGACCTTACAATACTGCATTATATTGTGAATAATGTTATTTACAAGTTTTGACCAAAATGACTCTTAAGTCCGTCCCTTGTCAGTACATCCTTTTTGTTTTAATCTCTGGCATTAAAGGCAGCAGGCAGTATGTGTTCCTTCAAACAATGCTTGGCGTTTATTTTAGAGTTAGACTTAAGTCAGGTTCCAATTTAGCTTTAGGCTCAGTTTGTTGTGGACTCTGCTGCTCCAGTGCGACACCTGCTGGTTTTACATTGAACTACGGCTGAACAGTTAATTGCATTGGCAATAATATTGTGATGTGATAAAACGAGATTTTCTAATCGCAAAGGCTGCAATTTGACTGGTCACCTGATCTGGTTATGTGACTTGCGAGTGAGCGAAGCAGAGCAGGGAGCGGGAGACGTCAGCGCTGCGTTTTAACCGCTTGCGCAGTGGCGTCAGGCCCGACAGAAGCTGATCCATCTGAAAGTTTGGTGCCAAAGAGGGGCAGCACGTCCGTTGTTTGGAATTATTTTGGCTATAAAAAAGAAGACGCTGTGCAACGACATGTATTGTGCAGAACCTGCCTTGTTGTTGTTGCTACCTCTCGAGGTAACACCACGTATCTTTATCAACACTTTAAAAAAACACCACAAAGCCATTTATGATAGTTGCATGTCTAGAATGCCAACGACCAGCGCTTCAACTTCAAGTAAGCAAAGTACCAGCCGACAGGGATCACTGACCTAACTGTTCAAAGGTTTTACTCCGTATGAACATAATTTGAAACGGCACGTGGAAATAACTCGAGCCATAAAGGAGTTCATAGCGAAAGACATGATGTCCATTAATATAGTGACCACGCCTGGGTTTACAGCTTTGGTAAACACGATGGATAAGCGGTACAGGATGCCCTTGTGCACACGTTTTAGCCAAGTTGCTATCCTGGAGCACAACAAAAAAAGCAGAAACAGAGTTGCAGCAGAGCTGAAAACAGTGGAGTCTTTTGCAACCGAAACAGATTTATTGCTTGTGTTCGTTAAAAAATACATGAGAAGAAGACATTGAAAAATAATCACATATTAAATCACAATCGCAATATTGATGTAAAAAAAATAATCACAATTGGAATATTTTTCCAAAATCGTTCAGCTCTACATTGAACCTGTAAGAAAAGAGCAACGCAGTTTTGTTTTGTCGTTTCTTCAAACTCTGGCTAGTTGGACACTCACATCCTGATGGACGGGACTTGTTAAAATAGTGTGTACAAATGTCTGTAACGTACTCCGCTTGCTTGAAGTGCCTAACGTCTGTTTTCCAGGTGGAGCCAACAGGTTCTGGGTTTGTGCAAATTGGCTCAGTTCTTTGTGGAAGGCAGTCTGGTGTGGAGGCTGCATGTGGGGCACAAATAGGGAGGAAAAAACATCCCTGACCAGCACTCGAGCTCTTCTTCTTTAGAAGCAGCTCGAGACGCAGCCAAACACTTTGAAAACTGTGATCTGTCCAGGTGTAACGACACAACTCTGTGCACTGGACTCATTTGTGGGGCACCGAGTTGTGTAGTCACAAACCTGAAGGATTTCATATTCCTGATTCAGGGGGTCCAGTTTGCTGTCAATCTTTCGTTCTGCTTTGAAGAAGCTTTTTTCCTTCTTCCTTTTTTTTTTTTTTTGCTTTTTCTGCTTTTTTATATTAAAACTCTGGTTATTTCAAAATAATTTTAATTCCCTCAGATTTTTTGAAATTATGACAAGACACTCTGAGATATGTAAAAATGGCGTCTGGGTGAAGGAGGGGTGTTGAGCAGCATCATAAACACCCTCCATTAGTTTGGAATAACAGCGATAACCAGATGTTTGAAACAAGGCCTTAAGTTCGCATTATAATAATTACATTTGCCTTATAATCTAGCTGTTTGTTACTTTTTGGCCATCTTATTTGTTAAAAAATAAATAAATCTGTATGCCTTTTTATAACTGTCTATTGTTGTCCACTGTTGTCATCATTCTTTGTTGAAATCAGGTCTCTCTTGTAAAGGAGTCCTCGAGGCTCAATGGGATTTACCCATCTAAATTAAGGTTGAATGGAAAAAAAAAGCGATTTAAAAAAACCATCCTTGTTACCTGATTGACTGTGATCTCAGTTGAAATTCTTTCTTCAGTAGTTTCAGTCTGCTGGGTGTGTTTTAACCTCATGAAATACTCTAAAAAAGTTAAATCTGGTCCTCTGGACATTCAAAAAAAACCAAAAAACAAAGCAGATCAACAAAAAAATGTAGTAATTATTGAGCGTGCATCAGGATATCTCATGAAATACTGTTTTTATTTATTTATTTTTTCTTAGTGGGTGTGTTGAAAAAAGGGACCCCGACTAGAAAAGCAGAGTTAGGAAAGAGCTTGGTGTGTCACTACCAGGTGCCATTTTATAAAAGAAAAAGACAGTCATGACCATCACAGCCTTTTGTAAATCACTGTTAGTCTCTAGTAGCAACATGTTGCTTACACAACCACAAGGGAGCAGTAATACACCAAATACCCTGCCAGGTGTTTTTGCTTTTTTTTGGCCTCACAACTTCCCAGAAAACCTCAAAAGTGGTTCCCACATCAGGTGGTTTTTTTTTGTTTTGTTTTTTTTAAACATTTTCCATAAACTGTCATCTAGGCCTGTCACAATATCAGATTTTGCTGGGTGATTAATTGTCTCATAAATTATTGCGATAAACAATAATATTGTTTGAAATTTGACAATAATTAGTAATCATTGTCAAATTTAAGAAGAAATGTTTAATTTGTTTTGTGTGTAGTACCTTTTTCTGACCACCAGATGGCAGTAGAAGACGGTTTGAACCGAAGGGTGGATAGTGAGGGAGTGAGCAGCGTGTCTCTTTAACGATCCAAAAACACGATTTTGGATGGCTAAAATGGATTTTAAAGAGAAAGGGAGGGGTCAGTGAAGAGCTCCAGAGTTGAGCTTTTTGTCATCCATTGTTTTCAGAAAGAGAGCGGCACGAAGAAACGATAAAGCCGATAAATGAAAACGAGGTTGCTAATTTTCATTTATCTTGCGATTAATTGATTTATTGTTTATCGCAACAGGCCTAGTGTCATCGTTGCTGTTATCCACTTTGACAACAATGCTGAGTTTGAGGTCCACCAACGTTGTTATCACAGCCATTTGTATAATGTGAAATTATTGTAGCTCAAAGGTGTCTGTAAACTCAGTTTCACGCTGCTGCTACTACATGGCACCAGACTGGAGTATACTTTTTCTTCTGAGGCTGCATTTTAACGCTGTTTTTTTATCACATGGTTATTCTCGCCAAACTAATATATTATCACAGCCAGAAGTGCCCAAGCTACTGCAGAAGTGCTACAGCTAGCTGACGCTGCTATTTGTGATTGAAAATAATCATTGAAGTCCGAGCTCTGAAGTTTTAGTGATTGGAGTTGTTTTAAGACCACAACAATCCATTTTGGTCTTGGCTCCACTCAAACCAGTTGTTTCATTCTGGTCGTAAATAAACTCTATTTCTCTAAACTCAGAATCTACATCAGGTAAGATGTTAAGTGTTTGTAATTCTTTCACTGAAACGCAAATGAAAATATATAACTATTGCTAAAAAGTGAATTTTATTAAACTGAAAAGACAAAACAAAGCTATCAGTGAATCAATGGCTCAACCCGTTTACAGACATTTTTAAAAGTTTGAATAAGCCTGAAAAAATAACGTTGTTAAATTCTATCAAATCTAGTCTTGAGAGCAAATTCCTGTTTTGTTTTTTTCCCCAGGTTTGAACATTTCAGCTCAGTATTTTTAGATTTCCAGGTGCCGCTTTCTCTAACACTACCATGAATTATGTTTCACACCTTTTTGTATTTTGTTTCAGCACAAAACCCCCCACTATTTTCTGCCTCAATATTTTTCTGTATTGAAGTTTTCAAGGTAAATAAAAAAAAAAAAAAGGAAATTTACGTTCACTAACTCTCTTCTGCTCTGTAAACAATGGAGACCAGCAGAAACGGACTGTTTTACTGCCATAAATTGTGGTTTGAGCTTTGCGGTTTAAATCTTGTTTCTTCTGTGCTGACAAATCTACCGGTAGTTGTTTCAGTGCTTTGCCTGGTTCATAACGTTCTTTACATTAAACACACATTTCGGTGCACCACACACTGCAGCACACATGTCAAATTAAAAACATAACGTGTCTTTCTCCCAGGAATGGTAGGCATCCGTCAGTGAATGCTGATCTGTGCTATGAGCCAAGGAAGGAGGGTCATTTGAGTGTGGGGGAGAGGGAGTCCATCTCCTGCAGGGAGGGAGAGAAAATCTTAAGGAGCTTTTGAGAAGGAGGGACTGTAGGCATAGAGTAAATGCAGATGAGAGAGGCAGAGGAGAAAAGATCTAAGAGATCATGGAGCGTTTTTGAACAAAGCAGGTGCAGCCACTGATCTGTCTCGTGTTGTGTACACGGTCCTGGGTGGAGGACAGGTAGGGGCCCCTCGGGGGCTGGATCATGGGACAGAGCCTTGGTGTGGAGATTCCAGCTCAGGATCCACAACAACACAAAACTGGCGGTGAGTTTCTGTCTTCACTCAAACACGCTACGAGTGTTGGGTGTTCCTTCGTCTCGAACATTTGTGGCTTCAGAACTCTTCTCTGATTTGTCCGTTTTTAAAAGACTTTGAACATCTGAGAGCGTGGTGGTGGTGGTGGTGGGGGGGATATTGTGTAATCAGCCTCGCACAGTCTGCTCTCTTCCCCTGCTTCACTTTCACCACCACAAAGAATGTTAAATCACTGGGATCATGTGGATGAATCGCAACTGTGTTTTTACACTCGTGGATGTGCTGCACAGTCTTTGTTTATTCAAGGTAGATCAGGAAGGATGTCTTACATCATTTTAAATTCAGGAGAATATTATTAGTCTTTTTTGTGTTCAAGAATTAGAAAATAATACATTAAAACCCTAGAATTATTTCAAAAAAGGTATATTGCTCACCACCCTTGGTGAAATCTTAAAAATGTTATTCACAATTGCAAGTGAAATCAAAAGATTCCACACTTGGAGCACGTGTTGTTAAAAAAGCAGCCACTAGAGAGTACAAGCAAGTGTATCTCTTGTGCCTGTCCCAAAGCAGGTAAATAGTGAGGGCTGTATCAGGAAGGGCATCTGTTGTAAAACACTTTTGCCAAAACTACCGCAAGTTCATCTAAATGACACCATACCGAATCGGCCGAGGCTCAGGTTTACAACAACCGCCACGGTGCTGTGGACAAATAGGGTGCCAGCTTGAATTGTACTTCTGTTAGTTAAGACTAAGGAGGGAAACATGTCAGGAAACAGCAGGAGAAGAGGAAAGTCAAGAATATAAGACTGAGGGTTGCAACTTTAAATGTGGGACAATGACAGGCAAGGGTAGAGATGGGCCGTTCACGATAAATAATAAATCAATCACATGATAAATAAAAATGATCGACCTCTTTTCATTTATCGTCTTTATCGTTTCTTCATGTCTCTCTCTGAAGACACTGGCTAACAAAAAGTTCAACTCCGGTGCTCTTCACTGACCCCTCACTTTCTCTTTTCTCTTTAAAATCTGTTTTAACCGTCCCAAATTGTGTTTATGGATCGTTAAAAGCAGCTAAGCTGAGAAGCTAAGCTAACAGGCTGACCTCTGAGGGAAAAACCCTCCGTCTTGTCAAAGCTCCAAAATTCACGGTTGAAACCCGAGCCTTTGTGTAAAAAAAGTTTTTCTCAGCAAAAAGAAGATGAGAACTTGTTTGCTGATTTTTTTTTATTTTTATTAAAAGCTTTGTGTGAAAAATGCTATGCTAAAGAGCTCAAACCACACCGAGCATCCGCCATTTTTAGAACTGGCGAGAGACAGCCCATGTCACATCAAGGGGCCTCCCTCCCATTTAAAAAAAAAAAGACACTCTGCACACTCCCTCACTATCCATCCATCAGTTCAAACAGTCTTATACTGCCATCCGGTGGTCAAAAAAAGGTAGTACATGCAAAATAAATTGACCAACATTTCTTCTTAAATTTGACAATAATTACTAATTATTGCCAAATTTCAAACAGTATTATCGTTTATTGCAATAATTTCTGAGACAATTAATCGCCCAGCAAAATTTATTGTGACAGTTCTAGGTAGAGAGCTGGCTGACCCCCCACCCCCCCCCCCCCCCTTAATTTAGGTTTGTTTTGTTTTTTTCAGTGTTTAAGGCCTTTTTAAGGGGACTTTTAAGAACTTTGCAGGCAATAATTAATAAAACAGATATGAATATTTATATTTTTCTGGTATTTACAGCTAAGCAGTGAATGATTTTCCACAAAGCACAGTCCTTGTGGTTATGACGCCTTTGCTCTTTAAGTGGATTGAATTTCATAATCTGCCCTGGCATATGTAAAAGTTTTAATGAGGCTTGAAGGATTTCCCAACAGTTGGAAAGCTCTTTTGGTAGATGTGGGTGTTCGGTGTAAACAGTCAGGACAGCTTTGTTTGTAGGCTCCATAAAAGGAACTTGCTCACCTGTCCCTGGGAATAGGGCCTCTCGGAGATGCTTGGAGGTAAAGAGGCTATGACTTCAGGTAGATGGGGCTACATGAGGAACATCCACACACAATCAGAACCCCACCGTGTTTTCCTTGGCTAAACTTCTGACCATTGGACATTGCTGGTTTTGGCCTTGTTATGAAAGAAAGCATGTTATATGTTTGTTAGTTAATTTAACCAGTTTTCGTAGTTAGTAGCAGATAATTTTTTGGCAATCCCAGTGGTTTAGTGTTTTGAGTATACGAGGAAGAGGCTGTCTTTGTTCTCAGAGAGGAAATGGCACTCCACCCTGATTGTGTGACTGTTTCCACCCCCCCTTCCCCTGCTTCAATAACGTCTGTACTTTTTTCTTCCTTTCTAGCTCTTTTTATCCTCCTGTATTCCTGAGCCCACTGTAACACACAGCTGCCACCACACTACAAGCCTCCTCTTACCACAGCTAAACGAAGGGCATGGACTTTTTTCTTTGTATTTTTGAGGAATGATTTCGAGTAGATCCACAGTTTTATTGAACGTTTTAATTGAGTTGAACATTAAGGATCTTTTGTCATTTTTAACAGTTTTACGATATTGGATGGACACATTTTTCTGATCAAGTTTCATTGGCTGGCATCCAAGTCTAAGGATATATTGTCAGTCATCTTTTTCCAATGGATGCCTGGATTCCTCTGTGATCGTCATCTCCGCAGTGCTCCGTTTGTGTTCAGGCCAGCTCTTATCCTGATTTGCTGGCTCATTTGAGACCCTCTACAAGAGGTGTTTTATACCGGACAGTCTGCGCTGCATGAGAACCTTGAACACAGAGACGTAGCTTCAAGCAAAACCTAATCTGGATGTTATGGCAGCTGGTCTGAATTCTCAGATTCCTGCCTCTTTGAGATTAGATGGATTACCATGGTTTGGACCCGTCTGTTGAACCCGAACTTTCTCTCTTGTAGCTTTACCTTGGAACTTGCTCATCTGCTTTTTCATCCTCTTCAAATTGATATTGATTACTTTGGTACACGCAGGCGTTTTTTAATGTACCGAATGCTCTCAGCTTCTCCATGGCATGCTGTTTTAGGTCCCGCTATCATGGAAGCTGGACTCTTAACACCCCTCTTCCAGGTATGGAAGGAATGCATTTGTTGAACTTGCATTAGAGATTTAATTTGGATACATTTCTCATACTGTAGTTTACCTACATTTGGACTGAAGTAATTAACGTTACTCGACTCTTGGTCTGTCTGCCATTTCTTGTGATGTGAAAATTGTCTCGCAGTGTGTATGCACACATTTGCTCCAGTATTGTCTTGTCATAAATGAGCGAGTCTGTATTGGAAATTCAGTATCAGAGGTTCCCAGACCTTTCAGCTTCTGAGCCATAAGATCAAAGTCATGTAAACTTGTTACACCGACTTTTGCTGGTTCAGTACATAAACATTAGTAAGAAGCCATTTAACAACGAATCTTGTAAACAATTAACAGTCCCTTTGCAACAGTTAAAGCGAAATATGCTATTGGCATTCACTTTCAAAATGTATTTGATTTCTGTAGATCTTTTAAGTACGCTCAACTTGACGTTTCAATACCTACAGGGCAGTCCTGACTATAGGTAAACCGATCAATTGGCCAATATTTACCACTTTTCAAATTGATGACTATCAGCCACACCTGTGGGTACTTAACTGATTACCAAGTAGGAAAATGATCATTTAGAAGAAGCTGCTACAACCAGCTCACTGCAACCAACATTTTTTTTAAGCCAGCATGTTTTCTATGTATATATCTTTAGTGTCCGAGTTCTTCTACCAGTAAATGCTTGTTTATTTAAGTTTAGGGATTTGTATTATGTTCTTGTTAAATGTAAAAAAGTAACTGGTCAAAAAAAAAAAAAAGAAGAAGTCTGTATTGTTTGTCAGCTGCCCTAATTGCTAACGACTGGCATCAGCCATAAAAAAAATCCATATGGGTCAACCTGTAATCTTAACTCCATCTTTGTGGATCAATGGTCTGTATTATCTTGGTTCAGGTGGAATATTGTCTTATTCCATCATGTACTGTTTCAAGTATATACTGTATGGTTGAAATGGCGATAAAAACCTTCTTGACTATCAAAAAATCAGAGTTATACAGTCATCCAGACTTCTAAACTCTGTTAGCCTTGCTGAATAGCAGTTAAAGTAGTTCCCCTGCAAAAAGGATTGCAACATTGACCGTACTAAATGTCCTTTTGTGAGATATTAGACTCTACAAGCTGCAGGGCTGCTGCTCCTTGCTAACACTGACTTGATATGTGAATTGAATTGAAGATTCATTTTGTAGAAATCATATTAATGCTGTCGTTGTGCTGCTGTGCTCTTTACTGTTTGAGAGCATATTGTTCTGGGAATCAGACACTACTGACGCTGAGACATCCTGGCTGGATGTTTTAAATCAGAGTCCGTTCTTTTTCCAGTGGTAAATATTGTGTCTGCTGAATGCAGTAGCTCTTACCACAGGGCTAATGTCCAAATTCTTCTCAAGCTCAGCACTCTGTCAGTGCTTTTGTCAATCATGGATCTCAGAATATTTAGCCATCACTTCAGAATGCCGTCTAATGGAGAACTTCCAGCCTCAGTGACAACTTAATGATCAGCGCTCCTTGAAAAGGTCTCGTTTCCTGACTGTTAGCTGTGCATGTCTGCACTGACAGCGTTTTTCTGCTGCTTATGACTGCGTCTGTGTATGCCCTTCATCTCAACGGAGGCAGTGAGGGCTGAAAGGCTGATAAGGCTCTAGTCTCCATCTAGCAAAGGAATGTAAGCACTTGACAACAAGAAAACTTGGCTGAAAGCCAGTGTCAGACCTCTTCTGTTCACTGTAGCCATGCAAAGGAGTCCATGAGTACTCAGCATCACCCTGCCAATGCAGTCGGTAAACGAGAACTGTCATTGATAATAACAGCCCTGATGAGCCCGGCCGTTTTTACAAAGCCAGAGAAGCTCATTTAGATTAGAAATAACAATTGCCAGAATATGGCTTCTGCTGATGAAACTTGACCTTGATTTTTTTTTTTTTTTTTTTTTTTTTTTAGGCCTCGGTGTCCTGAAGAATCTTATTAATCACTTAAACCTATTGTTTTAGATGATGAATCTGAGCAGCACCACAGCACAATGGTGGGAGAGGGGAGCAGCACAGGGGATGATACCCCAAAGCGTAAAGGCAAGTTTTCCACTTTTGGCAAGATCTTCAAACCCTGGAAGTGGCGTAAGAAGAAAAGCAGCGAGAAGTTCAAGGAAACATCTGAAGGTTTGTATTGTTAACTGTTTGTGTTTGTAGTATGAGTGGACCCCACACCCTTTATTCTCACTAAGTGTATATGCTAGATTCAACTTTCATCAGCATTCCTCAGTGTTTGTGCTTTTGCATGGATGTTGCAATCTTTCCTGGCCCCTTTAATGCTTTTGGCACCTGTAGGACAACAAACACTAAGGACATTGCATTTTTGTGACCACAGAGATTTAAAACCTGTGAATATTCTGTTTGTTGATGGCAGAACTTGAGAGGAAAATGTCGACAAGGCGTACACGACAGGAGCTTATAGAACAAGGGGTGCTGAAGGAGGTCCCAGACAACGGTAAGAAGCCTCCTTCTTCTTCTCTCTTTGTGATATGTCTGACACTGGCAGCCCAGTGACGATCTTTTCCACACAGTCGCTGTACTATAAGTCATCACATTATAGCAGGTATCTACGATGTCTTTTAAAATAAGTCAGTTGACTTGCTAATTTTCTAAACAATGCAATATCTGTTAAAAATTACATGCCACTCTGTGGAGCTCAGGAAAAGTGGAACAAATTATGTCCTGCAGCAAAATATCTCAGAGATGGATGTGTGCAAGCATTCTGTGGTCCCCGCTGTTGCAGAAGCTCATTTATTAAACCTACAGCTGTTTCTTCATCATGCCAATAAACACTGAATATGTCTTTAGAGCTTCACTTATTGACATAATCTGTATATTCCTTTTATCTTTTTGTTACAGCTGTCCTCTTTAAAATGTAAAAACATAAAGAAATACCTATCACTACTTCCCTTTGCAATATGTGTGTATATATACACACACATATCTTTAAAATTTTAAAAGAGCAAAAAAATCCCGGACAAGCCCCCATTTGTTAAAATTATATTGCAAAAGCTATTAACAACCTATTACTCATGAAGGAAGATGGCAGCCCATTGAGAGAGTAACATCTTTTCCCCACACATACAGTACATGCTATTTATAGATAAGCGTGTGATGTTGATATGCACAACTTAACACATTTTCAAACCATGCTTGCACGTGTGATTGAAGCTGTCTATGCGGGTAAAGAGACATGGAAATTTAAAAAAGACAACACAATTTCAGAAAAACAAAAACAAAACATAATTTCATTAGAGTATAACCACCATGCATGAGTTTTGGCACATTATTGATCGGAGACATGGAAAAAGATGCTTTCATGTGTCACTTTAGTCTTCCAGTGGCTCCATTTCCACATACACGTCTCCTGATCAGTTATATGCACCTTGTCTGACCTAATTAACAGAACATGCTTTCCTTCTGAGCAGATAAAACAGGTTCTTGCAGCTCTGCAGTTCCAATTTTTCTTTAGCAATTTTAGTTTAGGGACTCCAGAACTGACACATTTAACTAAAACTTTTTTTATTCTGCTTAAAAAATGAACATTTAATTTTAACTTCCGCTTTATGCCGATATACTGTATATTTGCACACACATTTGACAAAGCAAGAGAATAATAGTCATATATATATATATATATATATATATATACATACACAGTTTTTACAATAACATGTTGATGAGCATTTTTACTTTGCATTACTTTCATTGTTACTGAAGTTTTTGATCGCTGGTGTTTGTTAGTATATTTGCCACACCCAGTCAAGGCCCATTTAACTTTTTTTTTTTTTACATTTATCATCATGTAACATGTTGATAAATCATAAATTTAAAATCTGGACATGTACTAAATCTTATACATCTAATTTTATTTGCTTTGTTTAAATTCATTTTTATTTATATATCCAATTCACAGCAAAGTCATCTTAAGGCACTGTACAAAAGTAATAAATAAGTGGCAATCATAAATCCAATTCAGATCAAGACTGAATCAAATGACTGTGAATAAAATAATTTTCTAATACAACTCCTTCACGCACTTTATAAATTTCCAGTTACTCAAGTCATCTACCTAACAAGTCTTTGTTGTTGTTTTTTTAATCTTTGTTCAACATGATCTTTTTGTCTCCTGTCACAGAGCAAAGAAGGGGAATTGGAAATGCTGTCTGTCAGTCTGTCCATGCATGCATGTTTTGAGCCTGAAAACTTGATCAATAAGTGAGATACTTACTTCTGTTGTGGTGTGTGGCTGCATCTAGTCATAAGAAATGTCCCTTTTGAAAATTGGGTTGCCACATCAAAATCCAAGATGGCTGCTGCCATATACCTTGTGAGCTGTATGCAAAAATAAGAAATGTGCCGTTTACTATTTTGATGTGTGGCTGCATTTAGGTGTAGAAAAGTTCAGTGTAGAAAATTGGGTTGACAAGCATTCAAGATGTCCACCACCATAAAAATATGTAAGCCGATCACCCCCATCATTTGAGGAAACGATACTTTCTACAATAATACTAGAACACTAATACAATATACTTTCTTTATATTACGTAAAAGCATAGTTTCCCCAAATTACTTTGGTGGCACCTGGGGTGGTTAAATGTTATCTATGGTAGCTAAGTCCACCATTGACCACCCCCTGGCTCTCATCATTGCTTTTGGTTTTTGACAAAATTAAAAAATAAATAAATACCGGTAAATAACTTCTATCCACTTGAATATCTTGCACCAAAAACATTAGGCTTTACTTGCACTACAAACATTTACTGTTCAAATCCCTCAGCGACGGGAGACACTGGCAAAACACACGTTATTCTTGAGTTGTGCATTTCACCAGTTGCTTGTATTTTTCAGATGGCGATGCACAAAATGTGAAACAATCTTATGTGAAGAATGGTCACACCCTCCCTGTCGGGGTTGGTGGAGGAGGATCGGGAGTCATTAGCTCCAGCAGAAGTCCGTCTAACCCGGCCAAACTCCCTGTGGAGTCTGACTTTAGAATGAACCCTGCGAGGCTCGTCCAGCCAGAAGAGCGCTGGGGCCACTCGCCGTCAAACGGAGACCGCCGTGGAGCTGCGAGCTCCAGGAGCACAGGACTTCATGAGGAAGGGCGGAGAAGTGGAGGGATGGGGGCACGTGCACATGGGGACGGGGAGTGGAAGTCTAACCTAGCCTGGCACGGTCAGATCCATGGTCAGATGGAGGAGGGCAGGCGTGGGGGCAGACTTCACCCAGAGAACGGGCAGAGGAGGCCGGGGCTGCAGAAGGCACCATCAGAAGATGGCAGGAGGAGTCGGCCTGCAGAAGCAGACTGGAAACCTACGCTCCCTCGCTACGCGTCTGCAGAAGAGGGACGGGCCCGCAGAGGTGAGTCTCTACCTCTTAAGCTCTACAGGAAACTCAAAGAGAAGATGCACCATCTCCAACTTGACTATATTTCTTCACCCTCCTGCTGCCCTAAATGACCCACAAGGCTTTAGTTTTGAAACTGAGGCCTTGTGGGTCATCTTGACCTATGGGCAGCAGGTGATTGTTCAGCTCTGTATTTTTTTTCTCCATCTTGCTGTCACTTCTCAGCTCATGTGCCGTCCTCCCAAATATAGACAGTCTCCTGTCAGCTCTCTGGAGGCTTGCTCCAGCTCTGCTTCTTTTTCAGGAACATGAGGGAACAGCTCGTCCTCCCTTCTCTTTTTCTAATTAATGTGTCACCACCAGTACACCCATTATCACTCCTTAACGCTTAACACTGTCATCTCAGTGATGACTCTGACTCTGACAAGCATGAAGATCAATGCAAAACAATGAGAACTGAAAAGATTTAGCTCTGTTTTGATCATTTGTCTGTTTATCACTCACTTATCTTCTGGCGCTTGAATTTTAATCTGTACGTGTGTGGGAAAAGTGTGTGATTGAGATTAGAATAAATCGCACTGATTGCACAAATGAGAAGTGTTTAGATTGTACTGAAATAGAATAAGATCTACTACCACTACTTTGAAGAAAGAGATAATGTGAAGGCGAGGAGATATTTCCTGTTTTCCTTCACGTCCCTGCTCATATTGTCCATCTGTCTTACCTTTTTTTGTTTTACTTCTTCAGCCTTGATGCCTTCTTTCCTTTTTTTTGTTCCTTTTATATTTCCTGCTTTTCGTCCTGTTCTTTATTTCTCCCCTCTTCGTTATTCTCTCTAACTTCCTGCTTCATTCCGTACAATTTTCTCATTGGTTGCATGACGTCAAGGTGATAAAGGTTCATCTGTAAATAAACAACTATGTACTTCAGAGCTGCTGCTGTGAGGAATGGCGTGGGAGCAGCAGCAGCAGCGTGGGGGCTGCTGCTCGGGAGTGGAGCAGAGTGGTATGGGTTGAGGGAGGTGGGTTTTTTGGTGGTAATTGCAGCCTCCTACACTGTTTACCTTCACAGCTGATCCCAAGATAATGCAGTTCTCAAACAAGAACTACCACAGAGTGCATGGAGAGGTGCAGCAGCAGAATGTCTCACTCCATCTGAGCTAAAATATTTTTAACTTAACAGAAAAATCATCTATATCTCATATAGTTCTACGACTCCTCGTAATATAATGCAGTTTTATGTGAGATACAACATACATGCAACTTACTGTATATGTTTTTGGTCCTTTCCTGGTTATTGTATGCCACTTTTATAACCTGTTAATATTTAAAGGAATAGTTCAGCTCTTTTGAAGTGGAGCTTTGTAGAAAGTTTATGGACAATTAATAACGCATGTGTTGTAGATAACTCTTTGTACAGTCTCAGTTTGTAGACTGACAAGCTAACAACTAGTTCGAGTGGGTCTAATCTTATGCAGATTGTTTTAGAACAACTTATGTGTCTAAAACTTTATAGCAGTTTTTGAGAACACTAGTTTATAAACCTCTATATCATAGTCAGTTTTATATTACATTTTATAACTGACTCAACTATCTTTATACTTCTGTGGAAGTGCTCCAGGGCAAACTGGAAGTGCTAGAGCTAGCTGCTGCGGCTATTTATCTTTGCAGATAATCACACAATTACTTTATATGTTCACACACACACACACACACATATATATATATATGCTTTTTATTTGATTATCTATTATTGTTTGTACCTCATCTGTGTTCTTTGTTTAAACAGGTCTCTCTTGTAAACTAGTCCTTGAGGTTCAATGAGACTAACCTGTAGAAATAAAGGTTGAATGAATTAATGACTATGCAAGTAACCGTGACAAATAAAAAGACAACGTTGATTGTGATTGCAGTGAGAGTACAGCATACTGTTATGGAAACTGAGTTTAGCATATTAGCTTTTGTCTGGTTCTACTGGTGTGCTGCACATTTCAGTCAAAACTACAGGTGTCGCCCCCTGCTGGACATGAAAATAAAGCCGTGGAAAGTTCTGCAGGCGTATTTTTTATAACTAGCAATCAACTTCAGTCTTTGTTGTACAGTCTGTTCTTTGCTGTATTGTTAATCGTAGTAATTGTGGTGAATACATAAATCAACATCCACTCGTCATAGGCATGACTGTCATATTCATTTTGGCTTTTAATAAATTCATTCAACCTTTATTTAGACAGGTTAATCCCATTGAGCCTCGAGGACTCATTTACAAGAGAGACCACAAAGAATGATGACAACAATGGACAACAGCGACAACAATAAACAGTTATAAAAAGTCATACTTTTTTTTTTTTTTTTTTAACAAATAGGATGGCTAAAAAAAAAGTAACAAAAAACAGCTAGATTCTAAGGCGAATGTAGAAAACTAAAAACAAAAATAACAACAAAAAACAATTTGAGCTTCTTTATTCAGTGTAATGAATATGCAGATTAAAACTTTAGGGATTTTTGATAACGAGAATGAAATGTACAGGTTTTAATCTCTTTAACCCACACAGGGTTTAATTTCTATAAACATGCTCAAATGCATTCACCTAAATTTTTAATACCGGTAAGTGGTACTAAAGACTCACTGATGTCCTTTAACTTGATAAGGCCAATTAACTTCATGTTAGTGATCGTGAGTGACTGCAGCTGGTAGTTTCTCTTTGCCAGCATATAAAGTATTTGCTTGACAGCAGTCATTGGACTGCTTAATACTCTGAACAAAGGGCAAGTCTAAGTAACAACCAGTAAAGTTGTACAGTATGCTGTATAATCATTGCACTCTAGAAAAGCACAGTTCAAATGAATCATTCAAAGCCCCAACTTAAATACATAAATGTAAAAACTTCTATCTGCAATTATAAATTATGAGTAATACTAATATTTCATTTTGATACATTTACATTAGGGCTGTGTAATATCTAGAAAATGTATTGATGTCACAAAGGAGAAAAAATATATAATAATTACAGACATAAGCTGCGTTTAAGAAAATGAACATCTGTCAATCAAATGGACCACCAGTCCTCTAAATTCAATTTGGTTCAGTTTATTTATATAGCGCCAAATCACAACAAAGTTGTCTCAGGGCACTTTACAGGAACTTTCACATACATAAAAAGCCAATTAGTAAAGTTCTCTATGTAAGGAGGCCAGCAGACGAGTTGAATCTTCACTTTGTCGCAGTCTCCCATCCTGAGCAAGCACAGTGGCAACAGTGGAAAGAAAAAACTTCATTTTAAAAGGAAGAAACCTTCAGCAGAATCAGGCTCAGGACAAGCAGCCATTTGCTTTGACCGACTGGGTTTGAGAGGACAGGAAGGAGAGACAAACAGAATGACTGCTCAAGGTGTAGGTGCAGGTGAACCTAAAGACAAAAACTCATGTCAAGGATAGAAAAAATATTAAATACAAAACAGGTTGAGCAGAGCAAGTAAAGACAGTAGCAGAGTGAAGAAATGTGGTCAGTTTGTCTTCCCAGCAGTCTAAGCCTATATCAGCATAACTAAGGGACAGCTCAGGAAGCCCAAGTCAACCCTAACTATAGGATTTATCAAAAAGGAAAGTCTTGAGCCTAGTCTTAAAACTGGACAATGTGTCAGCCTCATGGACAGAAACTGGAAGTTGGTTCCACAAGAGAGGAACCTGATAACTGAAAGATCTTCCTCCCATTCTGTTTGTGGAAACTCTAGGAACTGTGAGTAAACCTGCAGCCTGAGAGCGAAGTGCTCTGTTAGGAAAGTATGGAACGATTAGCTCTATAAGATGAATGCCCACAACCAGCACACGGAGAATGTCGTGAACTTTTTAATGAAACATGAGTTAATCTAAACAGGTATCACAATTCTTTCACACTTGCATTACATTTACTGCTTTCAGAAATGCTTGCAGGAAAAGGGAACGCAACAAAACTGTATATTAATCAAACTGGAATTAGTTGGAATCAACATGATAATAATGAACAAAATATGACATTTAGTTTGATTCAGTTGTTTTTCATAACAATTTTTTTTTACCTTAAATTATTGTTGGAATAAACATTTCCAATCTGGCTGCTTTTTTTAAAATGCTGTTGGATTCTATACAAAGGCTGCAGTGGCTCAGTGGTTAAATTCTTGTAAGCCTGGGGCTGCAGGTTTGAGTCCAGGTTGCGTCAGGAAGTGAGTTCACTTGAGGGACCCTGTGTACACAGTTTTGTTCCACCACATGTGGTGCGGATGACAAATAAAGAAACTTTGACTTTTGGCTTTGACCTGCTGTGGCAGCCCCTGCAGAAGAGAGCAATTCAATTCACTTTATTTATAAAGCGCCAAGTCTCAACAGAAGTCATCTCAGGGCACTGAACAGAAGCCGAATGTTCGGGTCTATACAAAATGGCTGGGTCATTTTACAACTAATTATTCAGACTTCGCTGTAACCTTTAAATGGTCTTGGTAGTAACGTTTGCATCAAACAACGTTTGTCACTGGACTTTTTGTTTAAACCGATAAAGTTTTTTTTCCTTTAGGAACTTATTTTGCCATGCTAACACACCTCTGCTGTCTTTTTGTTCATAGAGTCAGACAGCCATTTTGTCCCTGAGCCAGACGCCCTGCAGGACAGCCTGTGCGAACCTCTGCCTCCTAAACAGTCGGCCGTGCCTCCAAAGTGGATGATGAGCTCCACCGCTGAAGGAGACGGCCCACCTCGGACACCTTCCAACCACCCCACCACCCAGTACTCCTCCACCTCAGCTGTGACGTCCAAGCCCATTCGATCCGTCTCGTCTACGGGTACCAACACTCAGCAGACTTCTACCTCTCAGGTCACCAAGCAGCCCCCTCTGCCTCCACCCAAGCCTGTGAACAGGAGCAACGCCACCATGCTGGGTAAGTGCTGCTAAACAGGTGACACCAGAAATGAACCTTGACCCAAAAAGCTTTTATTAACAGTCAAAAATGTGCTTTATAGTAATAACTTGGTGAATGAGTGCAAAAGAAACCACAGACACACACTCAGACATCCTGGTAATGATGTTTTAAGAACAGCTTGAGCTGCTTTTCCCCAGCTACTTATTTAATCTGTCTGGACTCCGTTAGCATCAACATTCCCAGCATTTTACACTCTGAAGATAACGAGGACCCTCGTGGCTAAGTATCAGCAGACACGCTGTAGTTGTTGTTGTTTACGGTGGATACGTCTCATCTGGGATCTCGCTTGGATTCCCTTTTGGCCAAGCCTTTCTGTTTTGATTCAGTTTTTTTTTTTTTATCTTAGCAGCGCATCTGGTGATTTGGCAGAAAAGTGCGCACCACTTGTTCCACGTGATGTTTTTGACACGTTACTGAAGCTGTTTGCAAGTTTAAAGTTAAAAGGCCGATCATAAAGAGCTGGATGGGCTTCAATAAAGAAGACAGAAGAATTGTGAAAAATACGTTTTATGTTTTTGTGAATAAATATATCAAATGAAAAGTACATCCTCGTAGCTTTGTTTACCAGACACTCCATCTGAAGGCGTCCGTCTCCTCCCTGTTAGTATCTGCCCTGCAGGGGGGAGAAAATGCACAGCTTCCTCTCTACTGGTCCTGCTGGAAGCGAGAGTGCAACTATGATGTCTACCTGTCCCTGCCTGTGTACCTGTGCCGGCGGGCCGGAGGCCTGCGCTCAGGTAATGGGATGTGCTTCCTTGATGCCAGGACGCCGGTATCTGGAATGCCCCTCCACCCTTTCAGAGTTTGCATTCTTCATCATGTCATGTCCTTTCTAGCTGCCAACATGTTTCCTCCCTTCTGCCTTCAACTTGTCGACTGGCCTTAAATGCTTCCTTCTGGATGTGCTGAATAAGAGCTGCATGCATTTAATGAGCTGATAATACGCGTTCTTTGTGTGGAAGAGAGGAGAGTGTCTGTGTGAGAGCTGTTTTTAGATTCTACACATGTGATTGAAGAAGCTTTGGCAGGCTCAGCTCTCGACTACGGAGGATCAGATTTAATAGCACTGATCTACTTAGTTTATGATGCATGTTTTTCCAGCAAAATCTAAAAGACAACTTTAAACATGGATGCATAGGATTCATATGCATCACTCATCTTGTAAATAAATTAATGGAAAAGTAGGAAAATGGAGTGTGGTAATGCGTCAAAGGTCCTAAAGGGATAGTTCTGATCTTTTAAAGTAAGACTCTGTGGAAATGTTATGGGCAATTGCTATTTTCCTGTTGTATACAGCATCTTGACTGACGTGTAGAATTAAGAGTTTTGTTCTGATCAGATGGAAGAGCTAACCGCTAGCTCAAATGAGGCCAAGCTCAAAGTGGATTGCTGCCGTCTTAAAATAACTCCAAACTAAAACACAATCTTAGCAGTTCATGCAAAAGATGTTTTATAAACTTTTACACTGCAATCACTTTTTGACAAAGTTATTTACAGAGAATTCTATAATTATTTGCTAGTGTTGTTGTTATACTTCAGCTGCTTCACTCAGCGGAGGTTGCCACATCGAGCAAACTCGCACAAGAGATATGGCAATTGTTTTACGCTGCATGTTTTTAATTCAATTAAGTTCAGTTTATTTATGTAGCACCAAGTCACAACAGAAGTCATCTCAGGGCACTGAACAGAAACATTCATATATAAAAACAATAATTTCACACTTATCTGAGGAGCAGACTGCTTTGAATTTAACTCCATCACACAACTCTCATCTTGAGCAAACATGAAGGCGACAGTGGAAAGGAAAAACTCCCTCATGAGGAAGAAACCTTTAGCAGAACCAGACTCAGGACAAGCGGCCATCTGCTTCGACCGGCTGGGTTTGAAAGGAACAGGAAGAAGGAACAGATACACAATGGCAGGTCGAGAATCATGTTAAGATAGAAATAATATCAAATGAAAACTATTTAATTTTAACAATTCATTTAAGGAAATGAGGTCAATTTGTCCTCCGGTAGTCTAAGCCTATAGCAGCATAACAAGTCAACCCTAACTATAGGATTTATCAAAAAGGAAAGTATTGAGCCCAGTCTTCAAACTGGACAATGTGTCAGCCTCATGGACAGAAACTGGAAGTTGGTTCCACAAGAGAGGAGCCTGATAACTGGAAGATCTTCCTCCCATTCAGCTTTTGGAAACTCTAGGAACCACAACCTGGGCTTGAGCCTCCCATCTTCAGATTATAAGACCGTGGTACTGGCTGTCGAACGGACTGCATTTGTTCTTCTTGTTTGTTTGAATAGTTTTACGTTATGAGTTGTTTTAAGACAGCAGCTCAGACTAATTAGTAGCTTGTCAGTCCCATCAGAGTTAAAACTCTTTTTTCAACTGATGTTCAGTGAGCTATGTACAACAGGTAAGATATTTGATGTTCATAGCCATTCCACACAACCTTACTTTAAAAGATCTGCCGTGTCACTTTAAGTACCCAGTCCAAGTAGGAGGTGGTAAAATATGTTTCAGCTAGGAGCTTTTTCTTTTCTTTACTTGAACTGTCCCTTTAAAGTGGAGGAAGGTGTAATGCATTACAGCGTAGTCATCTGCATGTTATAACTCTGTCACCGCTGGTCTTTGTACCACAGCTCTGCTTTGGGCTTGGGTGTTGCTTCACTGCTGTTTTATATCGTTTTAAGAAGCATACATTGAGTATAACATTGTGCATGCATATAACTGGATAAAAGCTGCGATAAAGCTTTGAGCTCCAGAGCTTCTGCATCGTATGAGTCTCATTATATAAGCTCTGATGGAAGGTTTAGAATCTGGCTGTGAAGAGCATGTTTGCTTCTTCTCTTCGACCTGGGGCACATGCTGCACGCTGCTCTGCTCATGCACATGTGCTCAGGCTGTTTGTGTGCAGCAGAGCTCGGTCAGACATGTAATCCCAGAGTTTGTTTGTTTGTGCGTGCGCGCGCGCGCGCGCGCGCTCATGTTAGTGATAAAACAGAAATAAAGGCTCATTCACACGCTGCAGCATTTCTGCCTCATATGGAGCCACTGGGTTATCTGTTTTGTTTTTGCATTTGCAGGTGACTTCACACAAGGCTCAGGGGGGGCCAGTCTCCATCCGGTCAAACCGTCTCCACCGACGCCCCCTAAGAGGACCACCCCGGTCACAAAACGCAACACAGAGGACTCTGCTACGAGCCATCCCATCATCCCATCCCCTCTCTCCGCAGAGGAGCGCAGCAGCCTCCCTCTAGGTTTCCAGCTGCCCCCTCTCCCTCCCTCCCCGCCCCTACCAGCTCACAAACCCCCCTCCCCGCCCCGCCAGCACATTCACACCCACCACCTTCACCATCAGCATTCCTACCCCCACCCGCTGCCCCAGCCCATACCAATGCTGTTCGACCCGCCGAGCCCGACCGTAGAATCTCCCCGGCGCCCGGCCCCCGTCCCACTGCACATCATGATCCAGAGAGCCCTTTCCAGTCCCGGCCCGGCTCAGCCGCATCCGGACGGATCGCAGCGAGCTCACGCGCTGCTCTTCGAAACTCCTCCAGAATACCAAGGAGATCGTGGTCGACCTCTGCCTGTCAGCATCCAGCCGTTAAAACTGTGAGTTCCTCGATACGTAAACGTCTGAAGAATGAAGCCGTCAGTCTTTGAAGGGGTATCACCTGCATCGTGCACGCCATAGTTTCAAACAAAGGTCTTTCACCACATGTTAACGCTCGGAATGTGCGCTGGGGATGACGCTCACCTACTACCACATCAAAATGTAGCTTAGTATTTGTAAAACTGCTGTAAACTGCTGTATTCCTTCAACCTTTATTTAGACAGGTTAATCCCATTGAGCCTCGAAGACTCGTTTACAAGAGAGACCTGATTTCAACAAAAAATGATGATAACAATGGACAACAGTGACAACAATAGACAATTATAAAAGAGGCATACAGAAATAAGTAGAAATTAGCACATAATGTGGAAATTATCTAGAAAAGCTGAAATTATCCAAAACACAGCTGAATATTATTTCAAATTGAAGAAAGAAGCTTAAATGTCTTAGAAGGAAGTAAAGAGAGTACATTTTTGCTGAATTAGGCTGGAAAAAGTTTAAATGAGTGCCAAAAAACTGTGGAATTGCTTAAACAAGCCTAAATTGGCACAAAAACTGCTTAATAGTAGCTGAAATGGCAGAAAAAGCTGAAACTAGCAGAAATAAGCACAAAGGAGCATAATCTGAAATATATGAAGCAATCTGAAATTTGAAAAAATCTGAAAAAAGTAGAACTAAGCAAAATAAAGTTGAAATTATCTGAAAAAAGCTGAAATTGGCAAAAACAGCTGAACAGTAGCTAAAATAAGCAGAAAGAAGCTTAAATTACCAGAAGGAAGTGAGTAGAGCAGGGTTTTGCTGAATTAGGCTGAAAAAAATGTGGAATTGATTTTTAAAAAATGTGGAATTAGCTTAAAAGGCCGAAATTAGCATAAAACAGCTAAATAGTAGCCAAAATAGCAGAAATAACTGAGAAAGGAGCATAACAAGCTGAAATTAGCAGAAAGAAGTTAGAAGAAGAACAATAATGTTGAAGTAAGCTGAATAAAGCTGAAAGGGGCACAAAATAGCTTAAACTGCTGAAAGTAGCTGATTTGGGAAAAAAAATAGCACAAGGAAGCTGAAAGAAGCTGAACTGGTCCAAAATGTGAAAGGAGTAGTAAAATATTGTAAACAGATCTAAAGATATGTAGGATGTAAAATGAGCTCAATTCATTTTCAATTGCATAAAAATGGCAGAAAAGGCTAAATATTTCAAAAAGCTAAAGTTGCACCAATACCAAAAGTCATAGCAGGGTTGTAATAATAATAATAATAATGTGTAATGTATTGTCATCTTTGTATGTTCCCATACAATGGCGAAATTGTCTCTGCATGTCAAGTTTCAAGCAGCTTTAATTTGTTTCAGATTTTATAAAAAGTTAATCAGTTCAATAATGACGGGCATGTTTTATGCTTCCTTTTTGTTTAGATCTGAAGATGACTACTCTGAGGAAGAAGAGGAAGATGATGAGGAAGAGGACGAGTACGATGGGGAGATTCCCCAGCCGGAACTGGAACCACGGAGTCGCCGGTGCCTGGTAGGTGACGCTGGCATCTGCATCATCCCCGGGGGAGACGACAGTGAAGAAGAGGAAGAGGAGGATGATACTGGAGGAGGACATGCCATGCATGCAGAGGACAGTGACTCGGATGGACCTGTGCTCCATAAAGATGAAGACTCCGACGAGGAAGATGAGCCCCCTCTGAGTAAGAGCCATAACTTTTAATTGAACAACAAAAACTCTCACCGATTCTTTAGTTGACAGTCTGTGAAGCTGCGGAGCGTCCTGCTCCTCCGTCACAGCTGCCACCTCTCTCTCTCCGGGTCTCCCTCAGGTGCCCTGGCCAGCAGGGTGAAGAGGAAGGACACCCTGGCGCTGAAGCTCGGCGGCCGTCCTTGCGCCCCCGATCGGGACCGGTTCACCCAGGAGAGGAGCAGCAGAGAGGATCAGCCTCCGGGGCAGACGGGCCTCACCTGGCAGAGCAGGGAGCAGTGGGAAGCCATTCGCACGCAGATCGGCACAGCACTCACACGGTAAAAACCGTCGGCCATCTTCTTTCTCCTCTGTGCTGCCTAAACTTCTATTTAATGTGCACATCTTGAAGAAGCTCGGATAGATTCTTAGATTATTGTCCTACTTATTGCCTGACTGACGATGTGATGAAACGGTGTAAAAATAGTAGCGGTTTCTTTCTTCTACTTCAGACGACTTAGCCAGAGACCCACAGCTGAGGAGCTGGAACAAAGAAACATCCTCCAGCGTCAGTATCTCCTTTCTTTCTTTCTTTCTTTCTCAACTTAAAGCACTGCAAACACAGAAACGCTGCTCGCTGAACTTAAACTTCTTTGGTCTTATCTGTGTCAGGATTTTAACTCACTTATAGTTTACTTTATGAACCGTTGGGAGTTTTTAATCCAAGTTCTGGCATTAAAACGAAACTGCACTTTAAAAGCTTATTTGAAATCCTTGAAGTCATTTGAGATTTCTAATTTTGGAACCTGCTTTTTTTTCCCCTTGCATGTCAAGCCGAGCTTTCACGTCGAAGTCTTAAAATAATTTTTATTTTCCTTTGTTTTGTTCCGTTTCCTTCTTCAGCTAAAAACCAGGCTGACAGGCAAGCTGAGGTTCGAGAAATAAAGCGGCGACTGACCAGAAAGGTGAAACACCAACAACAAACATTCGATTGTCATATTGTGTTTTTATTACAAGCGCAAATAAAAACTATTGTTTCTTGTAGCTGAGTCAAAGACCCACTGTGGCAGAACTCCAGGCAAGAAAGATTCTGCGTTTCCACGAGTACGTGGAAGTCACGGAGGCTCAAGACTACGACAGGAGGGCAGACAAGCCGTGGACCAAGCTGACTCCAGCTGACAAGGTGTTCACACTAAATCACCCAACTTCCAGCAGAGATCGACTTATGTCCGTGCTCTGGATTGTGTTTTGCATATTATTACAGTAGTCCCTCATTTATTGTGGGGGTTACGTTCTGGACCCTCCCGCAATAAGTGAAAATCTGCAAAGTAACAATGTTATATTTATTTTAGTATCTATATATATACATTTAAGGCTTTATAAACCCTTCCCACACTCTTGCAATGTTCTAAACTCTTAAACCTACATCATTTTAACAACATACTGTATGTATATGTACTGTATATGTAGCTACTACATTTTACATATCGGCTCTGCAGAACAGCAGCAGCTCAGTTCCGCTAGGTTCCGGTACCACTGGGTTCGGGTCCAACTAGGTTCCATTTCTTGAGACCTACCCTGCAGCGACGAAGCCCACACTGTTCTTAACTCTTAAACTTACGTAATTTTAACAACATACGTATATGTACTGCACAGTACTGCAAAATTTTACTCATCAGCTCTGCAGAAACAGCGGCACGGTTTCGGTCCGGCAGATCTGCCCGGCCGGATCTGGTCTGGTTCTGTGCAGCTCTTGAGCGCCAAAGCGCTTTTTTTTTTTGGGTGGAGGGGGGCGATGGTCCAATTGAGTGGTCCAATAGAGGGATGAAAAAAGTCCTGGTGTGCTCCAGAGAGAGGCCAGACCTATGGCGGCGTGCATCCCCGCTCGGAGGTCCTCGTGGGCCAGCTAGCAGCTCTCTGATTCGCTGATCAGTCTGGAGGTCCGGTTCTGCTCCAGTTCTGGTCCGGTTCCCGGTGGGTTCCATGCGGCTCTCTGCATCTGCTAGGCACCGAAGTCACTGTAATAAGCTCCAAACTTTTTCGGATCACATCAAAACGTTCCCTCTAGTATTTCAGCAGAAGGCTTCTGGGCTGGGCCCTGTTGACTTCTGGGAAATGAAGTTGTTATGAGCAGGAGTGCAGTGGAAGCTTATTGAGAGAAAACTACAAAAAGGCGGCGCCTGTCCGAACTATTTTATTTTTTCATTAACTTTTTACTGTACTGTATCCAGCACTGTCCCAGTAATATTAAAGTTGACAATCATGTGTCCTGTATAATTTTTAATTTTAATTTTTACTTTGAAAAACAACGAAAGAGCAAGTCCGCCATGGTCGAACCGCGAAGTAGCGAGGGACTACTGTACCACAAAATGTGACACTTGAAATGTTTCATTTGAAGTTCATAGTTAACAGTGAGTTTCAATACTTGTAGGCAGCCATCCGGAAGGAGCTCAACGATTATAAAAGCACTGAAATGGAAGTTCATGAGGAAAGCAGAATTTACACAAGGTATGTATTCAACCAACTGAATCATGATTTTATAATTGTTCAGGTTAAAGTTAATGTTTGAAACGTTTGCTATTTTGTTATTTAAATGTCTTTCAAATAGACATTTCTTTCAGCAGCTGTTTCCAGCCTTACCAACATCTGTTGTACAGATTGTTCTGTTTCAACTCACAGAGCTTCAGAAGAATAAAACATTCAGACTGAACGAACAAAAGATGCAGGTTTATGTAATGAATTTCAAGAAGCCATAGTTCTGTGACAAAATCTTCTTTAGGATAAAGCAAGTTAACGGAAGCTTCACTTTGAGCATCGGTGTTGGTAAATTGTGCTAATGATGCAGGAGAATCTGTTTAATAATTTTGATTCCAAAATAAAATGAAGCTTTATGAAAAAAGTTTAGGAAAATGTTTATACACAAATAAAATATAAATTAAATGACTAAAAGGGGGGAAAATGTGCTTTATATTTGACTAAAATCAGTTTAGTCTTAATAAAATCCTTAAAGTGAATATTTTTAAGTGTGAACAGTAAATATCTTACCTGGGATGGATAGTTCAGTTTGGAGAAACAGAGTTTACATTTGAGCAGACCTACAAGCTAACAGCTAGTTTGACAAGGGCCAAAGATGACTGCTGGCATTTTAAAACCACTACAGTTCCTTTATAGCAGTTTATGCAAATGTTATTTTATAAATTTATATCACTTTAGTATTTTAGTTTTTTTAATGGCATAAAAGTCATGATATCCCTGCCTGAAGTGCCTCAGCTGCTCCATAAGTATCACAGTGAGCTGCTGATATTTGTACTTGCAAATAATCTGAGAGGTCTGTGTAAACTACCAGTTAATGCAAAACTGGCAGAATTGTGAAGCTTTAATTGTTTTCTGTAAAACGTTATTTTATAAAATAGTGTTACCATTAATTGTTGGAGATATAATTTTAATCAAGATAGTGGAAATCCACTGTGTTCTTGGCTCTCTGACTAGCCGTTAGCTTATTAGTCCTGTCAGAAATAAACTCTGTTTCTCCTAATTGATCGTTCAGAGCTACATAGAACAGGTATGTTCATAACCTTTTCACAGAAACCCACTTCAGAAGCTCTGAATTGTTGCTATAAGAGATATGAATGCATGTGCAAGCCTCATTGATTTACTTTTTGTTTTTTTTTAGGTTTCATCGGCCTTAGCATCCACACTCTGAAAATAAAGCACTTAAGATGTCTGTGGAAAGAAGCTTCTTCATTCGCAGAGTGCCCTTTTTTTTACCTTGATAGAATGTGCTGTACTGTTGATCAGGGGACGCCTGGAACTGACTCACAGTGCTTGTTGCCCTCTCCCCCTCCTGCACTGCTTTTGCTGAACTGAGGTGGTGGTGGGTGAGGACCAGATGCAGTATTTCTCCTGATGATGGGGAGAGCCACGTGCCAATGAAGTACGGAGGTGGCAGAGGACCTACACTACAGGGCTTACTCTCCCTTTGCTGTTGTGTGGTACCCCTCAGGGACTCCGATCTAGTTAAAACCTTTAATGCGGCCTCATTATGTGTTGCCTTTTTTTCTTCTTTGCTGAATATGGAAACACTAACTCATCTTGTTAATGTAATAGCTTAAAATGTAAAAAGAAAATGGTAATAATAAGAATGACCTATCGCACTTCACACAGTAATAATAATAAACTGAGACTGGATCAAGAGTGGACCTGAATGGAGAGGACTTGGAAAGTCTGCTTTAGGAACTGGACATCTCTGGGATATTGTATGTTTTATATTGATGATGTACAGACTTCTACTGTTATACTTTAGATCGCGATGAGAATATTCTGTAATGCACAAGACATTTTATTTTGTAATTCTGATTACATTAGTTGGGAACAGCTTTTGTTTGAGCCTTTTATTGTTTGTACTTGCCTGAGTTTGTGGTCGTTGACGTGAGGTGGCCAATTTAACATCAAACCAGTTAGAGTTCACTTTTTTTTAAGGGTTTAATGGAGAGGTTATGAGAAATTGCTGCCTTATGTGTTTAAAGAAATGGAGTTTTAACCACAGGTAAAATAACAATTGTTCATACTTTTCCATAAAAACTTTGTTTTAAAATGTCTGAACTGTCACTTTAAAAAGAAAGGTGCAACTTGATGGGGTGTTGGTGTTTTAACATGTGCCAACAACAGAAACACCTAAAGGACTTAAAGCAGTGGTTCTCAAATTGGGGTCCCCGTACCCCCGGGGGTCCATGAGCCAGTGCTTGGGGGTCCTCAAAAAAATTTTTTTTACAAGCATGCAAATGTCTTAACAACCCATTAAAATACAACAAAATGTAGGAAATCACATCTACTTTATTCAAAATTTTCTAAGTGCGGACCCCCCCCCCCCACACACACAGTATTTGGCAATATTAAGTAGCAATACATTTATGTTCATTATGTGAACAGGTAAAGTTTTAAAGTGGTTTTTGATGCTGTTAATTTTCTCAAAACTGTAATTTTTGGAAGTTGAAATTTAAAAATTTGTTAATTGTGTCTTAAATTAAAAATTCCCCATGTTTAAAAGTATTAAAATTTTATCAACACTATTAAAGAGCAGGCCTTAAGTATTTATGTTACACAAATATTTCTATTACATTAAAGAGACAAATTGAAGAAAATGATTTCATAAACATGAGGGTTATGAGGGGGTCCCTGAAACGTTTTCTCCCCTGTAAGGGGTCCCTGAACTCAGAAAGTTTGAGAACCCCTGACTTAAAGGATACAGATGTTTTCAATCGGGATGTGAATTCCAGTGCCACTGCATCTGGATGGTCTCTCTTCATTTATACTTTTTAATGAGTTTTTGTACTTCCCTTTAAAGAGCGAATGTTGCAATGCATTCTGTAGCTGTTTTAAATAAGGTCATGTGCTTAAACTTTAGATATGGGCGTAGATCAGGGATTTATCAAAAAATCTGAAAATGTATAAACGGTCAACAGGGAGTCATTTTGAACCTGCAGAAGTGTTTTATCTTATATATTTCTGTCTGGCCAGTAGCTTACAGGGTTCTCTTTGCTGTGTACAGGTTGTTATAGGTTTAATTGATGCTTCTGTATATCTCGTCTTCCTTTCATTTGAAAAGATATTTTAAATATAAAAGTAATATAGGTTGCTATTTTTTTAAGTACAGAATATTAGATTATGATTAAATGCTACAAGAATAGAAATATGAAAGTGTACTTTTTTCCTGTAAAAATAAGTTCATTTTTAATTGAATGTGGAAATGTATGAGCTGACAATTTTCTTTTTAACTGTAAATAGTCACATCTGAATCTAATAAAAAAAAAGTGAAATAATTCTTTGGACCGCCTGTGAAATGAAGCTGGACCTGGCTCTTTTTTTTCTGTTGGCCTCTTATTTAGAATCAGAATCAGCCTTTATTGTCATTGCACAGAAGCACAATGAAATGAATAATGATGGACTGGAGAATTGTCCAGGGTGTCCCCCGGCCTCTCACACAGTGACTGCTGTATGTGGGCACCAGTGACCCCCATGACCCAAAAAGGAAGAAACGGGTAAAGATGATGGATGTTCATAACTAAACAGAAATAAGTCCACTGTCCTCATTTGGTTCGAGGATAGTAGAGGATATTAATTGGTCTCCATTTAACACTTTTTTTTTTTTAATAAAGAAAAATGGTCATGTATTTGGTGCATGCAACACAAACATTTACTAAAAAACTTAATATTTTTCCAGGTATAGTACTTCATTATTTACTTACCTAATGATTTTTATTTCAAGCTGCCAAAAGGCAAAGGTGAATGTGTTATTTTTGTCTCTTGTGTTTTATCCATCCATTTATCTGCTTCTTTTTGAGTTGTGGGAGTCACTAGTGCCCATATCCAGCTGTCACTGAGAGGCAGGGGACACGCTGGACAGGCCTCAAGTCCATCACAGGGACACAGAGACAAACGAGACAACCATTCACTCACTCACATCTAGAGACAATTTAGAGTCACCAATCAGTCTAACATGCATGCTTTCGGTCTGTGGGAGGAAACTGGTGTACCTGGAGAAAACCCACGCATGCACGGAGAGAACATACAAAATCCACCCAGAAAGGCCCCCGGTCAGGATTTGATCATGGTAACCTGCTCGCTGAGAGGCAGCACCTCTACCAACTGCGTCACCGTGCCGCCCGTTGTGTGTTTATGTTTCAGTAAAATATCTTGTGTGCCAATGGATGCATTTTATTGAAACTGAATCGTTGGATGTACCTACACAGCTAATTAACTTCTTTACTTTTGGAGCCAACCCAATTCAAGATGGTTGCTATAGCAAATTCAAAATGGCTATAATTCATCCAATTTTGTAGATATTGTGCTACAATTTGGTGTGACTACTATAGCTTAGTGTTATTCACAACACATACTTCATACTCATTGGGTAAGATCTTTACTTAGAACTTTTGCATAAAATTTTGGCATCAACCCTGTTTGCTAAATTTTTCATGAACCACCTTCTTTTGGCTTTTCCCTCTACAGGTGTGGCCACAGCGAGTCATCCTCCTCCAGCTCACTCTGTCTTCACTCCAATTACCTTCATGTTCTCTCTAACTGCATCCATATATTTTCTCTTTGTCTTTTTCCTGGCAGCTGCATTTCTAACATCCTTCTACCAGTATACCCACTGTCCCTCCTCTGGACATGTCCAAACCATCTCAGTCAGGCCTCTCTAACTTTATCTCCCAGTTGTTCAACCTGTGCTGTACCTCTGATGATCTCATTCCTAATCTTATCCATCCTTGTCACTCCTAAGGAGAACCTCAGCATCTTCATTTCTGCTACTTCCAGTTCTTTCTCCTGTCTTTTTGTCAGTGCCACTGTCTCCAGACCATACAATATAGCTGGTCTCACAACTGTCTTGTAAACTTTTCCTTTAACGTTTGCTGACACCCTTTTGTTGAAAATCCCTCCTGAAACTTTTCTCCATCCACTCCATCCTGCCTAGACTCTCTTCTTCACCTCTTTACTACACTCCCCATTTTCCTGGACAGTGGACCCCAAGTACTTGAAGTCCTGCACCTTTGTGACCTCTGCTCCTTGTAGCCTCACTGTTCCACCAGCCTCCCTCTCATTCACACACATGTACTCTGTCTTACTATGTCTGACTTTTGTTCCTCTTCTTTCAAGTGCATACCTCCACCTCTCCAAGTTCTCTTCCACCTGTTCCCTGTTCTCACCACAGATCACAACGCCAAAGCAAAAATTATCATGTATCACTGAATATAATTTAATGAAACTTTCAGAAAGCAATCCCTGAATGTACAGTACATCTACCAATCATACATTTTTAGAGTCAACCCAATTCAAAAGGGTGGCTACACCTAACTGATACTGGCCAACACAATAATGTCTCTTACTGTTTGAATTTTACAGATAAGCTAAAAAAATATGTGGTAGTAGCCGAGAGTCATTGCAACACATGTAATGTGTTGCTTTTACCAAGCACATTTAAACAGATTTCTACAATAAAATACTATTTTTTCATATTGCTTTGCTACAAGTTCTACATACAAATGAGATGATTTAGGTAATAAATTGAAAGAAAATTGACAATCATCTCAACGCATGCTTTTTCCACCTGACACAATTGGTTTTTCCACCTGACACAATTGGTTTTGCCTGATTTTATATTGATTTTATACATTGTCTTTTTTCTTCCTTTCTTTTTCTTTTCTTTTCTTTTCATCTCTTAGTTTCTGTTACTGCTGATTTTATTCTTTGTACGGTGTCCTTGAGTGCCAGAAAGGCGCCTTTGAAATAAAATGTATTATTATTATTATAAAATATATTCTAAAAAAGTCTTGAAATGTTTCACTCTATATGCAATAAATCTGTGGCATATATGAATGTTCATGTTTAGGCTGCTATTTAATACAATGTATTATATCACAGGGCCGAGATGATGTAGGGCACATATGTCAAACTCAAGGCCCGTTGAATCTTATCTGGCCCGCAAGATGTCATTTTAAATGTAAGTGCAACAGAGAATATCAAATGAGACCAATCAAACACTTTTTTTGAGGAACCTGCAACCAAGAAAAGATGTTGGGTATCTAACTTGAGTTAATGTAGATTCTGAAACTGGCCCTTAGTTTGAAAAAAGTTTTTAATTTAGGCCCCCTTTTGTGAGTGAGTTTGACACCCCTGATGTAGAGGCAGGGCAGCCGACTAGTGACCCAAAGGTCCTGGGTTCGATCCCCCGTCGTTGCACATCTCGTGGTGTCTCTGAGCAGGACACCTTATCCCCAGTTGATCCCTGGGCGCCTTCCATAGCTGCCCACTGCCCCACCTGGTGGTAGATGGGTTAAAAGCAGAGAGCCAATTTCACCATTGTATTGGAACAAACAATGACGACAATACATAACACATTATATTATTATTATTGTTTATTATATATCTTAGAGCCTTGTACTGTATACTGTTTCTTTTTTATACATTATATTTTTGCTATTTTTTGGTGTAACTGGGACCTTGAGTACATAATTTCGTTCCACCTCATGTACCACATGTGATGCGAATGACAATAAAGAACCTTGAATTTCACTTTCAGAAATGACGTCTGACCAAAAAAGTGAACTTTTTTACGATATTCTAATATTTTAGATGCACCTGTAAGTAGTTGCACTGATAAGCAAGCAAAATGCAATATAAAGTTTAGACATGCAACCACGATTTGTGTTGTCTCATAAAAAGAGTTTTGGGATACTTTTTAAGCTATAGTATTTTATAGACCAAGTGCTGTATTACTCACCACTACAGCCTAATAAATTATCAAAATAATTAATGTGGGCTTTTAATTTTATTTTAAAAAGTTTTTAAAAAGTTTCAATAAACAAAGAAAATGAGCCTCTCTCCCTGTTTACTGACTCAGAGGTGGTACTGTCCCTTTAAGAGAACGTGCGCTCCAAAGGTTTCAAAGAACGTGACGTGACGTCCCGCGTGAGTTTCATGTCTGAAGATCGGGAACAGGCTGTGTATGGTCACCTCTACGTAAACTACAAACTTCTTTAAGTTTTCAGGTTAGTGTATTATCTTCTTTAAACTCTTTCATAGCACAAACAACTGACGGATGAACACGACGTTACCGGCGCGCGACCTGTTATATAGTTTGTGACGTTTATTCATTCATTCCCGAATGTGATGCTAACCCTGAAAGTTAGCATGTGATAGCTAGTTAACGGTTATCCATTAAAGCCACTTAGACAACGTGTTTAGTTTTAGTAATGTATAATTTCATGTTACTGCATCAATGACAGCTAAGCTGATTTGGTCCCGCTTTTTAACAGTAAGAATTTAACCTGAAGTTCAGCCTTCATCGCTTTGCTAACTGTTAGCACTGACACATGGGTGCAGCTCACTTTAAAACTATTCTTGACTGGTGAGCACTGCTGCACGGGACTTTTGACAAAGTATGTTCGTCTTATCATTCATTTTTGTAAGTTCCTAAGCTTACAATCCTGTTAGTGTTGTATTGTGCTCATTTTACACGCTGTTTTTTTTCCAAGCCTTGAGAGCAGATGTGGGAAATCCAGCTGTATCCGGAAGGAATGTCAACCAGTGTTGTATAAGATCAGCGCGTTTCAAGGCTTTTGTTTTTAACCAAAACTGAACTGAGTGACAGTTTAATATATATATATAAATTATTTTGTTTTTTATGACCCTTGCATATAAAAAAAATCTAGAATGATACTGTTTGTGTGCTTATGACAAAACTGGCTAAAGTTGAATTCACTCCATTATTTCTGATCTGGGAAGGGTTGCAAGCACGAAATCCTTGTCATCTGCTAGTCAGTCCACCATCTTTACTCCAAACAGTACTTTGTCGGGAGTTGACAATTTTATAATGAAAAGCATATCCTGGAAGTCTTGACCACCATAAAAAGTACCTTGTGTAGCCCCTATATACCAGTATATTTCAAAGTTAGATTACTGTAAATCAAGGTTCAGTGTGACTTTATTGTCATTTGCATCACATGTGGTACATAAGGTGGAACAAAATTGTGTAGTCAAAGTCCCAGTTACACTCAAAAAATAGCAATAATAAAAAAGTATATTTAGAAGAAACTGTATACAAGCCTATAATATATACACTAAACATTAATAATAACAACATATATTAAGATGTATTAAACAGCAGCCTGAATGGTTAGCCTTAGCAGAAGGGTATGAATATATATAATATACAGGTCTCTCTTGTAAATGAGTCCTCGTGACTAAACGAGACTAATTTGTATAAATAAAGGTTAAATGAATAGCAGCTTATGGGTAAGAAATCAGCAGCATGTATAATCAGCAGCGCAATATTAAATGTGTCTTTAAGAGTTATGTAACTATCATGTATGTTAATGTTGAATACAACTTTCCGCAAATGTATTTTCAAGACGGGTACTTTTCATTTATGAGTGCTTTTTTTTTAATTTCCTGATGCAACAGCTGTTGAGTCAGCTGCTGAAATGAACATCTGACAGCTGCTGAGCCCCTTCAGCATTTGGCTAATATCACAGCTTTGATAAAGGCTGTTTTGTCTTGCTCCTCTTGGTTTTGTTTTGTAGGTCGTCATATGATTTTATCTTTACTGTCTATTTGGTAAAAGCCCCATACATTGTGATAACATTTAACATTCCATTAGAATTTGGACACTTGTGGGATTTGCAACTGTGATGCCATCTTATATTTTAACTTCTTGTTTTATGAGGGAAAAGGTTTTTTTTTTTTATGAGGGAAAAGTTTTTGGTAAAATATCATAGTTTTGATTGCTCTTAACCATCCATTCAACCTTTATTTAGACAGGTTAATCCTATTGAGCCTTGAGGACTCATTTACAAGAGAGACCTGATTTCAACAATGAGTGATGACAACAATGGACAATAGCAACAGCAATAGACAGTCATAAAAGAGGCATACATACATATATATTTTATTTATTTATTTTACAAATTGAAATAAGATGGCAAAAAAAGTAGTCAAAACAGCTAGATTATAAGGCGAATGTAGAAAACTAAAAACAGGAACATGTCTGCATTGGCCCTTGCTAGGAGTCCAACAAATTCTTAAAGCTACTTAGAGAGGTCAAGGTCGAGAGCTTCAGATCTTTTTGTAAGATATTCCAGGAAACAGGAGCAGAGTAGAAGGCCCTTTTGCCTAGTTTTCACTGAGGGAACACTGCAGGTAATAATGTCCTGAGAGCGCACGCTGTAGGTGCACTCACGCAGAGACATGAAGGAGGAGATGTATGAAGGCAGCAGACCAAGAAGTGATTTAAAGATGAAAATATACCAGTGAGAGAGTCTGCATGAAGTTAATGATGTCCAGTTAACCAGTGAATACAGGGTGCAGTGGTGGGTACGATAATCACAGCCAGTTATGAATCTTAGTGCACCATGATAGACGGCATCCAACATCTGCAGGGTGCTTGTAGGTAGAGATGCACCGATCCTATACCAATATCGGGATCGGTACCGATATAAAAATAAATAAATACTTCTGGATCGGGTATTGGTGACAATGTGACCGATCCACGACTGGGCAGATCTATTCACTCTAATTCTATGTTTTTGCTTTGAGTGACATCACGCGCTAGCATACTGACTGAACAAATTAAAATTGTGTTGTTTTTACATGTTTAACCAAGCTTGTGAAGCTCTTGGTGTGTTTAAGTGTGCTGTTATGGTGCAGAGTTTTCAATAAATTTGTAATTCAGTACATTCATGTCTGCGTTTAACAAAACAAATGTTTTAAGTTAATTCAGCACTGGGTTTATAAGCTCCAACATCCAGGTAGACAACAAAAATTGCTAAATCATGTCATCTGTACCTGTTTCAGAAACGGGTCCAGATGACATGATTTAGCAATTTTTGTTAATTCAGCACAGTTTTTCTGTATCAGATAGATATCGGATCAGTATCGAACGATACAAAACCGTAGATATCGGATCAGAAGTGGAAAAAAAAGGGGGATCGGTGCATCCCTACTTGTAGGAGCATTCATGTAAATAATGTCACCGTAATCGATGGAGGAAAGAAAAGTCACAGTTACAAGACGTTTCCCAGCATTCAGAGTTGGACAGGATCTGTTTCTGAAAAAGAAACCAAGTTTAACTTTCAGTTTCTTTACTAGGTTTTCCACATGGAGCTTAAAAGAGAGATGTGAGTCGACCAAGATACCCAAATATTTATAGGAATCAACAAACTAAATAGGGACACCACTTGAGGATAAATCGGAGGAAGAACTCTGGGACTGACTTCCTGTTTGAAAAAAGCATCCTTTGGTTTTATCGGCATTTAAGACAAGCTTGAGGCAGAACAAATCTGACTGGATGATGTTGAATGCGGATTGCAAAAGCTGGAAAGCCTTATCAACTGTTTTAGCTCGACAATAAACAACTGTGTCATCAGCATAGAAATGTAAGGATGCATCAGGGATGCTCTGGCCTACATTACCTATGTAGATTGTAAAGAGGGTGGTTCCTAAGACTAAGCCTTGTGGTACACCATTGTTGACTGTTAAATAACTGGAGGAAGTACCATTATGTTGAACACATTTCATCCGATTTGAAAGATAGTTAGAGAACCAACCAATGGTGTGTTCTGAGAAACCGATTTCTGAGAACTTATGACACAAGATGTTATGATCCACAGTGTCAAAAGCTTTAGACAGGTCTAAGAAAATTGCAGCACAATAATCCTTAGCATCCAGTGCTGAGAGAGATATGATGGTTTTCCAGAATCTGTTAGGGTCATTTAGATTTTTGGAGGTCTGCGATAAGAAATAGTTGTGTTTAGCAGCTTTAACAGCAGTTGTGCATTTATTCCTCATCTGCCGAAAACTCAACCAATCAGTGTCTGAGTCAGATTTTCTCGCTGCAGCCCAAAGATGATCTCTCCTGTGCAGGAGGTCAGCTAGCTCTGGAGTAAACCAGGGGCTGTCTCGTCCCTTAACTCTGAACTGACGAAAAGGAGCATGTTTGTTCACAAAATAAATAAAACTATTATAAAAATATAAAAATGTGTTTCTTTCCATGTGTTTTCTTTCAGTGTTGCTGCCATGCCTCCCAAAAAGTCCATCAACAAAAGAAAGTCTTCAGCTGCTGTAGAAGATCTTAAACTATGCAAAAAATTAAAAGGTAAAATATTAAAAGTAGTGGTTGGACTGTAGTCATATATATATAACAAATTTAAGTCGGTTCCTCTGGATGGATTAAAAAAAATGTGTTGAAACGTTTCATCTTTTGTCCAAAAGACTTCTTCAGTTGGAGGAGCTGCATAAACTCAGTCTTATAAACAGCACCTTCTCATGTGGATCAACCAGCTTGTTGCTGACATCCTAAACCAGCTGTTAACGTGATAAAGAAGGACCATCAGCCTAACGACCGATCATTAGCACCCTGATGGCTGTTTGCTATTCACAGAGGGCTGAGTGATACTAGCAATCACAGCATTGTAAGAGGGGGACAGTTGAACCCGGAGGCCTCCACCCCTGTTTAATGATGGACGATTTCTTTTCACAAAGATGACTTCCTTTACTCCTCTCTCAAACCATCGTTCCTCTCTATCCAGGATGCGAACATATTCATCCCTGAAAGAGTGACCGCTGGCCTGGAGATGAGTGTAGACCTCAGAGTCCTGGCCTGATGATGTTGATCTTCTGTGCTGGACCATCCTTTTGGCCAGTGGCTGTTTTGTTTCCCCGATGTAAGACTGATCTCAGCCCTCCTGACACTGAACAGCATACACAACATTACTCTGTTTGTTCAAGGTCCAACGTTCTTTGTCATTTGCATCACATGCGGTACATGAGGTGGAACAAAATTGTGTACTCAAGGTCCCAGTTTCGCCCAAAAATAGCAAAGATATAAAGTATAAAAAGAAACCGTATACAAGGATCTAAGATGTACGCTAGACACTTGTAATGTAAAATAAAACGCTGTATCAAACAGCAGCCATGACTCTAGTGAGCAGATGGGTATGAATACAGCAGTTTAGAGGCCAGCAATCAGCAGCACGGATAAGTCGCATATCACCAGTTAAAGTGGCATTAGCGATTTTTTTTTTTTTTCCTTACAGTGATTTTCCTGGTTAGGGATGTACGAGTCTAACAGCTTCTAGCAGCTCGTGCCGAGGGACTGGATCTTTGGGATGAACCAGTCTTTGCCGTAATGTATTTTGTGGTTTAAAAGCCACTGGGACATCACGTTTAGAGAATAAATGTCTCAGGTTCTCTGAAACTCCAACATACAGAATGACCACTGGTCTGGGTTCCTCCTTTTCACCTGTTGGCTGACTGGAGTCCTGTTTGGGTTTCTTGAAACCCAGTTAGAATATCCACATTGCTCTAGAGCCTGTCTTGTGTGGGATTTCTCCTTCTGCCTGGCTCCTGAGTTAGTGGGGATGCTGTCTGCTCTGTGGTACAGAGTCCTGATGACTCCTAACTTGTGCTCGAAAGGGTGATGGGAGTCAAACTGCAAATACTGGTCTGTGTTGGTGGGTTTGCAGTACACCTCAGTTTGCAAATGTCCTTTGTTAGAGACTGAGACCTCACAGTCCAAGAAAGCCAACCTGCCATTTTTTGCATCTGCTCGTATGAACTTTCATTAAACAGGGGTGGAGACTTCCGTGTTCAACTGTCCCCCTGTTACATGCTATTATTGCAAGTATCACTCAGCCCTCTGAGTAGCAAGCGGCCATCAGGGTGCTAATGATCAATTGTTGGATCCTCCTTTATATCAGGTGAACAACTAGTTCTGGATGTCAACAACAAACTGGTTGATGAGAAGGTGTTATTTATAAGACTGAGTTTATGCAGCTCCTCAGATTGAAGAAGTCTTTTGGATTAAAGACGAAACGTTTCAACAAGTTTTTGTATATATTTATTTTTTTTTGCATCCGTCCAGAGGACCTGACTTAACATTTAGATTTTTTTTCTACCTGGATTATTGAGCATGTATCAGAGCATATATCTCTACAAAGATTCATCTGTGCTTTATCACATTCATACACTGATGTAACACACATCGGAGGCAATGAGGGGTTCAGTGTCTTGACCAGGGACACTTCGGCATGTGACTGCTGGTGGAGTCGTCAAACCCTCAACTCTCCCATTGGAGGATAACTGCTCTGACCGCTCAGCCACAGCTGCCCCAAATAGATGGATGGATGGATATTGTTCTGTATTTTTTGAATAAATTGGCCTATAAATTTGGCGCAGTGTAATACCACAGTTTAAACTGTCACAAACTGCATTCACATTTTTATTTATTTATTTCATAGTCAAGTTTGGCCTTGAAAGACCAATCAAATCTGCAGACTTATTAAATGAACAGAGTAGGGAGCTATAATTGTGTCTGTTTGTATCAGTTTCACACAGGAGTCATTGCAAGGAGGTGGGCCAAGTTCTAGTTTTGGGCCAGGGTGATGTTGGGCAGTTGGGCCTAGGTGAGAGTATCACTGAGAGGAAGAAGCCAGCCCTTGTGTCCCTACCAGAGAAAATAGTGCAAGTGGTAGCAGGAGGCATGCACACAGTGTGTCTCAGTGAAACAGGTCAAGTAAGTGGAAATTTATCTTGTTTGTTTATATTAAAATTTCTTTAAAAGAAAAGCCATACATTTCTCACATAAACTGTCTTCATGTGTTCAGGTCTACACTTTTGGCTGCAACGATGAGGGAGCTCTTGGACGGGACACGTCAGAAGAAGGATCTGAGACGCTTCCTCAAAAGGTGACTCTGGACGAGAAGGTGGTCCAAGTGTCTGCCGGGGACAGCCACACAGCGGCACTCACAGAGGATGGATCAGTGTTTATCTGGGGCTCCTTCAGGGTTGGTAAACTGCTGTTTAAAAAAATGAAATGAATTTCAGACATTTGGGAAATATAAAGAATTGATCTTACAACTTGTCTTTTTGATTGATGCACATTTCTTTTGTTGTTGTTTTCTCTGACAACAACACACAGACCATCTGTAGTGACAAACTGCTCAGTTGTGTTAAACCCAGTGATATTGGGATGAAGTGACCCCCGCAACCCCAAAAAAGGAAGAAGCGGTTCATGTTACGTGTGCACCTCAAACTAGTACCTTATTGAAAGTTATGTTTATGCTGCTAGAGCCAATCTATTTAAAGTATAAAAAGAAACAGATTTATGCTAAACACTAATAATGTAAAACAATGTTAAAAAAAACAACTAATAGTAAAAAGTAACAGGGGCATTAAAGTGCTCTTACAGATGCATTAATTTGCCACTTTTTTATTAAAAACCACTATCATCTGCCTGAAAGCGAATAAATTGGCTTATCTGTACAGGTATGTCTGCATTAAATCTGTTCTATCCACACTGTTTTATGGCAAGATATATATGTTTCTCAATTTATACATTTTTATTGTTGTATTTTGTAATAGATTTATGCTTTCCTTCATTTTTTCAGATTTTTTTTTTCTGGGGGCTAATGAGCTTCACTATATTCTGCTCCGGTTTTTAAAGTGTGCTCACCTCCTGTGTACTTGACTTTCCAGGACAACAATGGAGTTATTGGCCTCCTGGAGCCCATGAAAACATGTCTTGTTCCTGTTAAAATTCCCCTCACAGAGCCTGTCATGAAAATAGCCTCAGGTATGCAACAGTTGCTTGCTTTATTCATTCACAGTTTAAAATATATTCTGTGTTTATGTCGTAACTTCTGTGGATATATTCTTAGGTAACGATCACGTGGCACTGCTGACGCTGGATGGGAATCTGTACACGTCGGGCTGTGCAGAGCAGGGACAGCTGGGACGAGTGCCAGAGCAGTTTTCAAACAGAGGGGGCAGGAAAGGTCTCGGTAGGTACCACAATACTTTACATATACTCTTACTTTCTACTGAGCTTGACTAGTTTTATTTGTAGTGTCTGTTGTTTATTTTGTTTCCTGTTTCAGAGCGACTGCTAGTGCCACAGATGGTGATCGTCAAAGGGAAAATCCACTTCACTGATGTGTTTTGTGGGGCATATTTTACATTTGCTGTGTCTAAAGAAGGATACGTGTATGGATTTGGCCTCTCGAACTATCACCAGCTGGGTCAGTGTAGCTTATTAGTGTTTTGTTACAGTAATTAGTAACAGGGATGTTAACTCTTCTGATAAACAGCATTTCTTTGTGTTCAGCATTAGCTGATACTCAATATTTGCCAAGATAATTTGATGAGGGAACTTAAATAGTTTTATTTGTGCAGGAACTAAAAGCACCAAGATGTGTTTTGTCCCTGTAAAGCTGACATGTTTCAAGAACTCTACAACTGCCTGGGTGGAGTTTTCTGGAGGGCAGCATCACACCATCTGCCTAGATGCTGAAGGTAACAGCTGACCCACATTTCCGTCCGCACATTTTAGACAATAGACATGTTCTGTTCAGCGTACAGGGTTTAGGACACAGCTGGGCTAATAAAGTGAATTTTGTGTTTCAGGCCAGGTTTACAGCATTGGTAGAGCGGAGTACGGACGCCTTGGTCTGGGTCCAGGAGCTGAAGAGAAAAGCGAGCCCACACCTGTGAAGGGGATAGAGCCGGCAAGAGGCGTATCCTGTGGAGCTTCGGTCAGCTACGCAGTCGCCAGAGAGGGTGAGAAACAAAACCAGCTGCAGCAGAATACCAAGCTCTGAGTTTCTTACACAATGTTCTCTGCTTTGTTTAAAAAAAAGATGTTAAACAAAAGCTCACAAGTTAACAGTATGGTTTGACTGAACTTTCCATACACCTTGCATAAAGATTTTTTTAACCAAACAATTTTGTAGTTTGTAAGTTTCACCTTCATTTTTCTGATAAACTATGAAATTTCTTCTCGGTGCCTCTCAGGGTTCTTAATATCAGACCAAATGATAATGAATAAACAAAGTAAAATGCTTATAATCAGACTTTTGGTTCATGCATTTATTGTTTTAACATTTGTTTGCTCATTTCAGGATGTGTGTATGCTTGGGGCATGGGCACCAACCTGCAGCTTGGCACGGGGGAGGAGGATGACGAGTGGAGCCCTGTGAAGATGACGGGCAAACAGCTGGAGAACCGTGAAGTACTCATGGCGTCCAGTGGAGGGCAGCACACAGTCTTACTGGTCAAGGACAAGCAGGAGAGCTGATGACCCTCTCAGGCAGGATGACGGGGAGTGTTTGACCGTTTTCAACGTGGGGCCTTGTTCAGGGTGCTCAGTTTTAAATAGGCTGTTAATCTATATTTGACTGGCTGTGCTGAGCCAAAACCTGGGGGGGTTCAGGGTAGAGGTCAGGTTTGAAATATTTTTATGAAGAATTACTTTCTTCTTAACTGGGGAGGAAGTTTGTTAGATCATGAAAAAGATACATTTTTAACAATAATTATTATTTTTTTTATGTTTCATTGGATTTTGTTGTCATTTATGACTGTATGGCTGAATCTTGTGTTCATGAATGTGACTGTGTGTACATTTAGGACATAAGAAAGTGGACTCTGAACAATAGTTTATTTTTTTATTTTATTTTTATAGAATTTGTTTCTTTAAAGCAATAACTAGCTTCACTTGGGTTCAGACATGTTATTCAGAGTGTGTGCGTTTAACATGACTACTGTTCATTTTTACCCACTGCAGACGCATCATTGGGATTATTTGGAATGATAAAAATTGTACTGTGTCCTGCATTTTGCTGCCTTTCCTGTCAGAAAATAAAAATGACTTATTTTAAATCCTTTTATAACATTTGCATCAAATTATATGACAAGTATTTTGTTAAAATTGTTTTTAAAAGTAAATAAATACAACCGTTACCTGATGTAAGGCTTTGCTCATGTGATTTAGTTTGTGTTAATGAACAGAATTACAATTTCTTTAAAAAAATATTTAAAAAAGGGAAAAGTTTTTTTTTTTTTTTTTTTTTTAAGATTATTGTTCAGCAATAAAGACCTAGGTTCAAGGTTCTTTATTGTCATTCGCATCACATGTGGTACCTGAGGTGGAATGAAATTGTGTACACAAGGTCCCAATTACACCCCAAAATAGCAAAAATATGAAGTACGGTATAAAAAAAAAATATTATACAAGGATATAAGATACTAAACAGTAAAAATGTAATATAATATGGTGTATTAAACAGCAGCCTGAACGTGAGTGTTGTGAGCAGATGGGTATGAATACAGCAGCTAAAAGGCAAGGAATTAGCTGCATGGATAATCAGCAGCACAGATAGTGACATTTCACCAATTAAAGTTGCATTACAGTAGTTGGTTAAGTTAGGGATTTGTGAGTCTAACAGCCTCAGGGTAGAAGCTGTTCCTCAGTCTAGTAATTCTACACTTAATGCTCCTCAACCTCCTCCCTGAGGGGAGCGGGGCAAAAAGTGTGTGCTGGGTGAGTGGGGTCCTTCATGATGCAGGTGGCCCTCTTCCTGCATCTGGAGGTGTAGATGTCTGTGATGGTGGGGAGGCTGACTCCCAACGGACTTCTGTGCAGCCTTCACCACTCTCTGCAAAGCTTTTCTTTCTGCAGCTGTGCAGCCTCCCTGCCACACGTTGATGCTGGAGCACAGGATGCTCTCCACTGCACACCTGTAGAAGGTCTCTCTTGTAAATGAGTCCCCGAGGCTCAATGGGATTAACCTGTCTAAATAAAGGTTGAATGAAAAGGTGAGGACTGAGCTTCTCAGACCAGCTCGCCTCAGCCTCTGAGGAAGTAGAGTCTCTGATGAGCTTTCTTGATCAGGCTGGTGGTGTTGTTGCTCCAGCTGAGGTTGTCATTCAGGTGTACACCCAAGTACTTGTAGTTGGAGACCACTTCCACCGCAGATCCACCTATGGTTTGTTTGTTTTTGTTTTTTTTTTTTTGGGGGGGGGGGGGGGGGGGGGGGGGTAGGTGTGTTTGTTCCTTCTTAAGTCCACAATCATCTTTGTCTTCTTCACACTGATGTAAAGGTTATTTTTGCACCATCTCTCCAGGTGTTCCACCTCCTGCCTGTAGCTGGACTCATTGTGATGCATCCCACCACCGCTGTATCATCTGCAAACTTTACAATATGACAGCCTGGATGGACAGGTGTGCAGTCATACGTGAGCAGAGTGAACAGGAGAGGGCTTAACACACATCCCTGAGGAGAGCCAGTTCTGAGTGTTATGGGGGAGAAGGAGAAGTTGTGGATCCTCACTGACTGTGGTCTGTTTGTTAAAAAGTCCAGGACCCAGTTGCAAATGGAGGGGCTTTGTTCTAGAGCCAGTTCTGAGTGTTATGGGGGAGATGGAGAAGTTGTGGATCCTCACTGACTGTGATCTGTTTGTTAAGAAGTCCAGGACCCAGTTGCAAATGGAGGGGCTTTGTTCTAGTGTGAATAGTTTGTCCATCAGGGTCTGGGGAATCATGGTGTTGAAGATGTGATGTCCACCAAGAGCATATGGACTTAGGAGTCCTGCTCCAGGCAGGTGACAGCAGTGTGGAACACAGAGGAGATGGCGTCCTCTGTTGATTGATTCTCGTGATATGTGTATGGTGAGGGTCCTCACTGATGATGATGGTTGTTTTGATGTGGGTCATGACCAGTTATTTGAATAGTCATTCAAACCAGTCACTGTAGAGCTCTTGGGAACTGGGATGATGGTGGTGGTCTTCAGGCAGGTGGGAACTGTTGCCAGGGCGAGGGAGGAGTTAAAGGTCAGCACCTCGCAGAGCTGATCGGCACATTCTATCAGCACCTTCCCCGGGATGTTGTCCGGGCCGGTTGCTTTGTGAGGATTAATCCTGAAAGTACTCTTCTGCTGAGATCACGCTGAGAAACTCCTCTTCCGATGGAGAGGTGAGTCTAGTGCTGGGTGGTCAATTTGGGTCTTCAAAACATGCATAGAACCTGTTAAGAGCATCAGGTAGTGATGAGTCCCGCACTGTGCACCTCTGCTTTTATAGTCGTATGTTAAAAGGTTACAAGAAAATGTGGCTGAGTAAAAGCAAAAAATGGAATAGAAATCTAGGATTTGTTAAAACCCTTTGCACTGTGCTGTATGTTGTTAATATGAAGTATCAGTGTCCACTCAAACAAGATGGTGATGGCAGCAAACCTTTGTTGGTTGCATGCAGATTAGCCATTAGCTGTTTGTCCAAACTGACATCAGAGCTACAATATATTCATATTTCCACAAAATCTTGTTTTAAGAACTCGTCTTCAAACCTGTTAAATTTACCAATTGTTTGTTTTTTTCCGTTGAGATGAAGTCCATGTCCTGCTCCACAAATTAGAATATTATACTCGGCTCTGCACAGCCTTGAGGAGTAAAAAAGGACATTTTTTGTTATGGATACGCAGCAGTTGCCTCTGAGAGCTGCTGTGAATGCAAACGACCCATTCCACACAAAAGCAGTGAACAAATTTAAAGCAACAAAAGCATTTCTTGATTCAAATGAAGGTCCAAGAATATGCTTCAAACCTTGTACAGTAGGGTGAAAAGCACAGCATCCTTCCTCTAATCTTTTTTCATCTGACAGATAATGAAGTGTTAGACCGGAGTCCTCATGACAGAAGGTTTATCAAAAAGCTACGGCATGCTAAAGTGTTGTTCAGGAGCACCTAATCGATTTGAGTGCTCCAAATTTTAAAGGCTAGTTTAAATTTTTGGTTTGTTCTGTAATTAATACACAATGGCTCAAATATAACAGAGGTCCAGTGTGCTGAAGACTGACATTTGCTCAGTGATGGTCTAAAACAACTGGATTACATTAGAAATGGAGGAATTTGGCAATTATCTACAAAGACCTTGAACACAACTGCATTTAAATATATATA